GTCTATACTTTCCATATATACAAAATTTGACATACTTTTATTGGAAATAACCACCCGATAAATACTTTTCTTTGAAAGTATCTTTAACCATTAGTTCATTATAGTGTTTACTATTTACTACTACGCAAAATTTAAAAGAACAATTTTGAATAAATTAGGGCTAGGTTTTAACACAACACTGGGAAAAAAAATATCCGAGCATATACTAATGTTTTGTATCCAAAAATGTGCAGTGCATTTGTGCATCTGAAAGCATACATGGTGAAATTAATTCAACTTGAAGCTAAAAACAAATGATTCTTTTATAGACAGGCGGATGGTAACAGCGACCGAATTTCATGAGAAATAGCACGATACCTGGTGAACATGAAACACGTGGCCTCCTCCATCGTCAACTCCCACTGGGAAGAGCCAAATATTACTATTGGTTGAAAGGAATAGCTCACATAGATGACTATTGATTACGACGCACCTTAATCAATATTCGTCCATACTCGATACTTCCACTGGGAGGAGTCAAGTAATATTATTGGTCGAGAGGAATATCGTACATATAGTTAGTAATGTCTAATTTATTTCATTAAACTTGATTAATGACATAAAGATAAATTTATTTTATAACATTCTCTACACAAATATTAAATTAGGTAAGCTTAATGAGATTTTATTATTTTGTTTACATAACTTACATAAAAAGAACTCTCATGGTTCCGACTGGTGATTCATTAACCGAATTCAAATTAATCCACGAGAGAAAACATACGCTTATTAATTTAGAAGAACTAGTGAATGTCAAACGTATTGTCTTGGGCATTTGGATAAATGGCTATTCCGGTCACATAAGAGTTTCCAAACCATGGACATAAAATATCCTATGCAGACTGGGTCCATTCTTATTTCTAATTTATATAAATGTTATTTCTAATGGTCTTTATAATTCAGTACGATTGTTTGCCGATGATGTGTCTTTATATACTATCATCAATAAAGAGAGAGAGAGAGAGACACACACACACACACACACGCACACACACACACACGCACACACACACGCACACACACACACGCACACTCACACACACACACACACACAAACCAACTAGGTCATTTCGGGACTAACATATGGTTTAATTTTATTTCAATAATTCGCTTGCGCGTAGGGGTCTTTAGCAGTGGGTGGAAACCGGAGGACCCAGAGAAAACCCTCGCAGAAAAGTATTATACATCTGAACATTTATATTAATAACCAATTAGCTGAACAAGTAAATAGCCATTGTCATCTTAACCTTCAAAAGAACGCCTCGTGGTCTGTACATATTTCAACTATATATCAAAAAGCTACCAAACGATTGAATATATTAAGACTGATGAAATACAAATTCGATCGAACGTCTTTAAACAAAATCTATTTGTCATTTATTAGCCCAGTTTTTGAATATTGTGGTTTGGGATAATTAAACAAAATCTGTTTGTCATTTATTAGGCCAGTTCTTGAATATTTTAATCTCGTTTGGGATAACTGTACTAAGAAAGATTCTAATTTATGAGAAAGTGTCCAGATAGAAGCAGGGCGAATAATAACAGGGCTACGATGAAATTCTCAAAGAAAATTTATTTATTCTGAACTTGGATGGGAGCTTGTCATGCTTTATAAAATCTATTATGATTGTGCGCCGACATATCTGCAAGACATCTTAACCGATTTTTTTTCATTTCTCACGTTACAACCTGCGTTCTTCAAATCCCAATGTCTTTTTTTAACAGTTTCTTTCCCACTACTATACGACTATGGAACAATCTGCCTATTCTGAACGTCAGAAATTCAAATAATCTTAATCAGTTTAAAACTAATATCTCTAAGTTATACCCCTTTCAAAAAATCAAACCCTATCATAACGTTGTAACAGAAAAGAGAATATTTTACACTGGCAAATAAGAAACAATAGTAGTAACCTAAAAAGCCACCTCAAAGAACAATTTTTGTTAGACTCTGCTGTTTGTCCTAATTGCCCGAATGAAGAAGATTCATATCACTATTTTTTTTATCTGTCCACACTATAATAAAATTACACTACATATCTTCGAAATTATTATAAAATTATAAATGATCAAAATATTACTTTAAAAATTATTTTACAAGGAGATGAAAGCTTATCATTGGAATCAAATATACAATTAACTACAGCTGTTCACCTTTTTATCAAACGAAGTCACAGATTTTAATTTCAAAATCAGTGCAAAATACACTTCCGTACAACATCTGTATATATGTTCTTTAAATGTAATGTTTGTACATTCTTTAAACATATTTTGTAAATAACGTGCTACTCTTTATTATACCTTTGTATCTATGGAAAGAGCTGATATAGGTTTCAAGCCTATTGCTCAGTCCCATTCTTTTATGAATAAAATATTGTTGAAATCAAAGTTCCTCATCAATCTCGGTATAAATAGTGGAAAACCAAACAGCTCTATATTCAGTGTTCTTAATTGTTAGTTCTTAATTCATAGTCCTTAAATCTTATTTCTTCATTTTTTTTTTGTCGTATTTCGACATTTGTACACTAAAATTAACATTTGTATCTTAAAATCATTATTTGTTTTACAAATCAGACATTTGTCATATCAGATTTATAAAATGTATAGTATGTTTGTTTAATTTAAATTTATTTTAATATAAAGACAAAATTTATTTTAGTAAATAAAAAAAATAATCTACATTTACATTTCTCTCTATATATATATTGTTAATCTGATCTAGCATTAAATAAAATAAATTGAAAGTAGTCTATATTTTAGTAATTAAGTTATTATTTGATAGCGACATATTTCTTTGGACAAACGAAAGAGGGCTTTATCTCTTCTAAATCATGTAATCATGATTGGGTCAGAAAAATAACTAATACTCGTATATTCAAAGAGCGATAGACAAATACTTTCAGGTGAAGCATTTTAAGACAACTGGAATTTCGTATTAAGACGCGTATGTTGACTTTTAAATACCCCATCCCCTCACTAAATAGAGTTCAGACGATCTAAATTATATCTGCTTTAACAAGGTACGTAAATATGAATACCTACGGAGCCCCTTAAGCGCAATTTTCGATATTTTTTTTAATTATTTCGTTTAAACGAAATAATTAATTCGTTTAAACGAAATAATATCATGTATTTCGTTTAAACGAATTAATTATTTCGTTTAAACGAATTATTATTTCGTTATTAAACGAATTAATTATTTCGTTTAAACGAAATAATTAAAAAAAGTATCGAAAATTGCGCTTAAGGGGCTCCGTAGAATACTTATTGTGTACATTGAACTAATTTAAAAGATCAATATTTTAATAAAAATTAAAAGAGAAAGCGAAGGTAAGTACAACTAGGTAGACGTAGAGAAACTGCGGTTGAGATCGGTGACATGTCAAATTAAAATGTTCTATAACCTTTACTGTGGAAAGTGGAGCCCGGAGATAAGTCGGTCCATGGATCTTTATTATTATTTTTATTAAACAATAAAAATTTGGGTGAGAAAATTTAAACATTTAATATTTGTGCACGTTTTCAAACAGTTTGACACTGATTGATTGATGCGATAACATAGTGAACATCTGGGTATTTACACAATCCTTATTACTTCCCGCAATATAACTCTTCCCCATATCATAATTATTCTTAAGCTAAGCTTGTTTATTCATAATTGCCTGTACTGTACCTTTTTCAAAATTTTGATATATTTGGACTTTGTGAGTCACATTTAGATATATCTGTGACTAATGATGAAGATATTTCAATCTCAAACTTTCAACATCCTTTTAGGAAAGATTCTTGTAATGTAAGTTCCTCTGGAACGCTTCTGTATGTTAGAAATCATATCATATGTAATCGTAGGTTAGATTTAGAACATGATAATATTGAGGCTATATGGATAGAAATTACTCTTAAACACTCTAAACCATTATTACTTTGTAATATTTATCGTAATCCCTCTTCTTTATCTTCCTGGAATACTGACTTCTCATTTATGATAGAAAAAGCATGGAATTCTCACTGTGAGATACAATTATTAGGAGATTTAAATATTGACTTATTACATAATCATAATAAATCATGGACCGATCTTCTTGAAATATATGGTCTACATCAAATTATTAGGTCACCTACTAGAAATACTTCTTCCTCTAAATCACTAATTGATCATATATTTGTATCTGAAACTAAACATGTCAAAGAATCTATTGTTCCTTCATACTCAATATCAGACCATTTCCCTATTTGTTTTACTTGGCAAAAGAAAGGTGTAAAATTCCCCAAATCTTCACATACTAATATTACTTATCGCTCATTTAAACATTTTAATAATGATTTATTCCTCTATGATTTACGATGGGCTCGATATAATTCTGTATATGATCACTGTGATTCTAATACTGCACTAGACAACTGATATGATATTACACTGCCCATTATTAATAAACATGCCCCTTTAAAAACCAAACGAGTCAAAAATGTTCATAAACCTGATTGGATAACCCCTAAATTGTTTCATTATATTCATGAACGTGATTTTCATAAGAAAAAAGGTAATACTCTGCAATTTAAACATTTTCGTAATAAAGTTAAATCTCTTTAGTACCGTAATCAATTTGTTCTTGCACTAATAATAATAGTAATATTACTTATTAGTTATAAAGTTTATAAGGAATAGACAAAAATTGTATTTTAATCTCATACTCTAGTGGGCCTACTATTCGTTAGTAGTAGGCCTATTTATATGAGTCTTTTTAACCTTGCAAAATAATTGTATTTTCTAGAATGGGAGGAAAGTGTGCTAGAATGGAAGATAGCAGGATAAAAAAATCCCCCTTCTTTGCCATCCATCATAAACAAGTTTACCACAACAGTGAAATAAACCAAGGGTGGCAAAAATGTAACCAGACCCTGTTTCACAGATTATTTTAATATCAAGACCTGGGAATGTAAACAGAAAAAGAAAGCCTGTGATGGCAAATTTTAACGACAACAGGTAAGTGTTCAGATAACATGGGCAACCACCACATAGGAAAATGTTCTTAGGGAGTGATGTAATTATTGTGATCGTCCAGTTAAAAATACGATCATCTAAAACGAAAACAGATAAGTTATTACTATCTCTACATAAATTCTTAAGAGTCCCAGATATCGTTTATATTGCCAGTCCCAGATGTCGTTTATATTGCCAGTCCCAGATGTCGTTTATATTGAGTCCCTATATGTCGTTTATGTTGAGTCTCAAATGACGTGATACCTCCAAAAGTCATGCATAGGCGTATTAACGTTTAGAGAAAAAATATAACTAACTTATTTCTATGAGATCCACACTGCCCGAAAAGTATTTTCTCGTCTTTTTCTTGTCCACTGCATATGCCCGAAAATATGCCCGAAGCTCTCTTATGATAGGTATGCCCGAAAAAACGGTATTGCCCGAAAAACGGGCATCGGGCCGGAAAGCGGCAGAGGAAACTAGCAGTAAAACGCGTTTGCGACCGTAAAATATTCCAAAATTTTCTTGGCGGGTCATTCGCCTCTCAAAGAAAACCGGCGCCGCTGTCTATAAATCCGAAATTTTTCGGGCATTTCTAGTTTTGCTTCCCTAGCTGTCATCGAGCCCTAATAAAACACTAATTTTACTTTTCTTGTAATTGAATATCACGAATTTGTACTGAGTTGACTATGGATTAAAACATTTTGTCTGGAGCCACTCTACTTTGTGCGACATTTTTCAGGCATCGATTATTATTTGTGAATGCAGATGCAACAGTCTGATTGGATGGTTAGAATTCAGAGTGGGATTTCAGTAACAAAACCATTGGATACTTTTGGAGTTGCTTACACGGGCTAGAATAGCAGGAAACGCATTTACGGTGATTAAATTTTCAAATTTTTCTCCGGGAGGGTGAGGCCTCCATATACCGCGCGACGATTGATTGGTTGTTTGGAATTCGGGACCAAATTGAAGTTGCTGTATTCACAGACTGGAATAACAGGAAAACGCGTTTGCGGCAGTTACATTTTCAAAATTTTCTCCCAACGGTCCCGTCTTCGTTGACTGTAAACGATTGATTGGAATTCGAGTCTGCCACCTTAATAAGGCTATAATATATATTCGACCACTTTGAAGTTGCTTTGTTCACCGGCTGAAATAGCAGGAAAACGCGTTTGCGACAGTTAAATTTTCTCCTAACGGTCCCGTCTTCGAGGACTGTAAACGATTGATTGGAATTCGAGTCAGCCACCTTAATTAGGCTATATTAGACCGCTTGAAGTTGCTTTGTTCACTGGCTGAAATATCGGGAAAACGCGTTTGCGGCAGTTAAATTTTCAAAATTCACTCCTAACGGTCACGTCTTCGAGGACTGTAAACGATTGATTGGAATTCCGAGTCAGCCACCTTAATTAGGCTATATAAGACCACTTTGAAGTTGCTTTGTTCAACGGCTGCAATAGCAGGAAAACGTGTTTGCAGCCATCAAATATTCCAAAATTGTCTTTGGGGGGGGGGGGTATACAAGGTCGCTGCTGTCTGTAAACCATGAAATTTTTTCGGGCATTTCGGATTCTGCCCCCCTAACTGTCATCGAGCCCCTACGCCTATGGTGTCATGCAATTTTTTTAAATACCGGTATGCTGGTTTTGTAGTTCAATACTTTCTTTTTCAGAAATATTCAAGTATCAGATGCCAAAATACTACAGTCTAATACTTGGTGAGCAGCACAGCAGACTCCATAACAACATCCTTTGGTCCTCAACTTATTGGATCCCCACTTGCTTATCATGTATGTAATAATGTATCTATATTGATTTGGGCTTGTATAGGTTTTTCAGCAAAACCACAGATTCATAACCGTAATATAAAAACAATATCATTAGTTATCACTCTGTATTTTCAGTAACAAGGACATAATGCAGTATTTTATATTCCATTTTTATTTCTCAATAAGGAATCACATAAAATTTGTTAAAACGCAACAGATATAAGTCAGCCATAATCAGTTTTAAATTGTTCTGGCATATTTTCAATGATAATATTTCTGTGTGGCCATATAACAAGAGAGCCAAGTCTATAAAACATATAATTGATCCAAATGGTAAATAAACTGCTACAATCCTGAAAAATATAAACAGTAAATAGATTATATAATATGTATTTCAGGCACCCCTTACACAAGTGACAACAACCAAGAGCAGAGAACTCTGATAAATGTGGTGAAATAGTTTTTCAAAAAACAGTTGATGTACGTTTAGATTTAAATCAGATAGAAAAGATGACAGTTGAGTGGAAATAAATAGATGTAAAGCAAGATGAAGCCATAAAAATAGAGATTCCACAAGAAATATTAATAACATTTAGATGACCGAAAGAAAGTGTTGTGTTACGGCCTCAAATTTTGGAGCGTTATGAAAAGAAAGAAACAGACGATTCATTTTTAGAAAACACGTGTCAATTCATTTTTATTCTGTTCCCACTTCTTATGGGCAAGCAAACGAAACCATTGCAAAACAAATGTATATCAAACAGCCCGGGAATCATATTCATGACATTGGACTTGTCATAAATCCAGCTTTTCCATTTTAGGTGCTACACCAGATGCAAGTGTTTGTGATAAAGGCGAGACTGAGCTCATTGAAATTAAATGTCCTTTTTCAGCTCGAGATATGACACTTACAGAAGCATGCAATACACTGAAAGATTTCTTTTCAGTGCAAAATGATGATGAATATAAATTGTAGAAACCATATTCACTTGTTTCAGATTCAGGGACAATTTCTCATAACTGGGGCTCAATTTTGCGACTTTTTCACTTTTACAAGACCGGATTTCTGCATAGAGAGAATATATCCTGAAAAAAGAAACCATGCAGCAACTTGTCTCAAAATTATCATGTTTTTATGTTGAACATTTAAAGCCATTTTATCTTATAAAATATTCTACATGTCTATAAAATAAGTTTAGCTAACCTTTGACAGCATCAACTATATTCTCTATCTGTACCATTTCATTAAAGCATTTTCTTCACAGTTTTCATACTCAATCAGATTTGACTTGATAGAATATCTGTAAAGAAATTTGTACATACATGATTATATTTTAGAATTTTTATATCAGAGATTGGTAGAGACTAATTTTGTAATTACAGCAGTAAAATATTTTAATTGTTTGCTGCTAAAGCCGGTCGTCTAATTTTAATAAATATGATAATTAGACTAGCCATTAATTAAAAAAATGCAACATTAACACAATTTTCTCAATTTTAATTTCATGCTATTACCATAACTTAGAGTTACAGATGCATAAAGAATGTATGTACTCTATACCTGGATCTAAATAAATGAAATATATCTAAAATGATACAGAATAGTTTGTAGTGTCAGACAGAGAGAAATGGAGTTTAACATCCAGTTGAAACAAACTGGATAGGTCATTTTTGGACTGACAAATTGTCCAATTTTATTTCAATAATTCCCTTCAGCATAGGAGGCCCTGGAGAAAACACACGAAGTTGGACAGAGGAGCCTTGCCACATACAAGTATTGGTTCGAATAGTTTGAAACCACCTCACTTGACTGAAAGACAGCCCTTATGATCTAATATGCATGTGTTAACCATTCGACAACCCAAAACCCCTGTATAGGACAGAAGGCACATCTACAAGACAGTGATTCCAGGCCTCTGTATGACTAACACTGTGAGCACATGTGACAGGAAAAAAACATTGTAAAGCTGATAAAGCCATTGTTACCTTTAAACCTTTGATTCAACTACTGCAGATTTCTTAAAAAAATTACTTGAACTGGGTTTGGGTGGTGGTCTTGGTTGAGCAATATGATCATAATGCAGTGCAGCGATAAGATGTGGCTGACCATTTACAAAGTGCTGAAAAATGAAAAAAATAATAATATTATAAATATTATTATTATGATACATAATATAATATAAGTAAGTTTACATGACCATTTCATTCTCCTAGATAATTACTATCAAGTTTTTAATTGGCAACTGGATTTGCTTTGTATGCCTTCCGCCTTCTCTGTTTTTTGTTAACAATAAATTCTTAATTTTATTCAAACTTGAAGTTAAGGCCCATGTCTGAACTATTTAACCTGCAGATCTGTCCTATAGGCCTATATCATACTATGTGAGGTACAGTCAAATAAGATCAACTATGTTAATTATATTATGAAAAAGATTGTTTCCACTGGCTGTCAAAATGTTTGAGAGGAAATAGGCCTACTGACATTTTAATGTCACATGGTAAAAACAGCCACATTTATTAGCCTATAAGACAAGGCCTACCGGTACATAATTTTGTTTGAAAAAAAAACAAAACAAACAGTGTAGGCAAAAAAGTCTATAAAAATATAAATAAATAATAACCTTAGTATGTGGGCCTTATTTCTCCGCTCGAAAGGTTGTCCGCATCGACAAGCTATCTCTGGAATCGATTCAGTTAGGTAGGGCCGGCTCTCATAGTATCGCGTCTTCTTCCAAACTTTGGGGAAGTATATAAAGGTTATATACGTAAAATACAACTAACTCATCATGTCTCTTCGGGTATCTACTGTCCGTATTACACGTACTCCATGCACATCTCTTTACCATTATGACAGGTTGGTGGTGTCTGCTGGAAATACCTTAACCTTTATTTACGTGTCTGACCATAGATATCATTTGTGATTGGTTGATTTATTGTTTTGATTATGCAGTCTTATTTTCGAGAACACACGCTAATTATGTAGTGATTTTGAAAATATTTCACTATAAAGTCAATAGGGGGCAGATCATATATCTAGTTACGTCTGAAACACTACTAACATCTCTAAAAACATCGAGGGGTAATTAGCGCAAAGTTGGCAATCTGCGCTCCAGCTTGATAAGCGCAGATGGCTAGGGGTGAAGACTGCGCCTAACATAGTCATGGGTGTCACGTGATCAGTGCGGACTCTAGTTTCCATATATATCTATGCTAGTTTCTATATGCGAGCTTCGCCGTCTCACATGACCTCGCCTAAAATGTGTTAACCAGTTCCGGGGCATATATTTCGCGCGTAAACAGAAAAAGACCGCGGCAAGTGCAGGGAACAAATTCAAACAATTGCAATGGAAATAGAAAATCAAGTTCAATATAACGGTCCTTTGACCGAGTTAAAGCACACCAATAATTGCACAAAACCTGATGTCATCGAAGAACGGTAAATATTTATTTCAACAATAACATCGATATCCTATATTTAATATTAACAAGTAAATTTGCAGACTTTATTATAGATAGCATGTACCAACCAAATTTTATTTTTTGAGCAATTAATTGCTTTGAAACATGGCAGAAATAATTGCCCAAACATTAGAATTTCAAAACCGTTTAAATTTTTAGAATCGGACTTAGATCTATACTTTTTTTAATATTCAATTTTTATTGAATTTGTTTTTTTGGTCCGAAATCGAAATCTGGTCCAAAAAGTGGTAATTTGACTTCAGTGCAATGTAAAAAATTTATTTTTCAATGAATTAACTTTCTGTCATATCAAAAATTATTACCTCAACTAGTTGATAAAAAAAAAAAGAAACAGCTAGCAAAAAAAAATTGTTGTTTGAAACTTTCCAAATATTATTATATAATTTTTTTATATATCTAAAAAATATGTATTTATTTATTTATTATTATATAATACCATGTATTGTTATCATTTTATATAAATAACCAATATTTATTTATTTATTTATTTATTATTATATAATACCATGTATTGTTATCATTTTATATAAATACATATTTTTTAGATATATAAAAAAATTATATAATAATATTTGGAAAGTTTCAAACAACATTTTTTTTTTGCTAGCTGTTTCTTTTTTTTTTTATCAACTAGTTGAGGTAATAATTTTTGATATGACAGAAAGTGTGATCACTGAACGCATGAGGCCTCTGCTTCAGAGTCTATCGTAAACAGCGTGCATAGAAAAAATAAATAAAATGAAATAAACTAAACAAACCAGTGCAAAGGATTAGTTTTCAAACCCACCTAATCTGATACTACTAAGTCTACTTACTAGTGACAGCCTACTCGCAATATCACATGACATTATGTCATATATCAGTGATAATAAATTGGCCTAACATTTCACTTTAGTGTCTATGTGAGTTATTCTTTGTTAATACAAATTCTGCTTTTAAAAACGTGAGTTCATACTGATAAAGTGTCCAGCAAGAGAACTGCGCTCCTTATCACCATAATTGATTAAAATAATTCAATATCCTAATTTATATGCTTTGTATATTAATATAAATCAAACCAAATTATGGAATATATATATATGCCATTTAATATGTATAGTGATCTTTTTACGTAGTATGTTGTTATGTTAATTTAATGCTATTGTATATATTTTTGCACTGTCATTTAGTTCCACTCGGTTTGTTTTGTTATTATGATTTTGACTAGTTGTTTCATGTACATTATTTTAGTGCCTTGTGTAGTGCCATCGTTATCATTGTGATCTGGGCCGGACTAAACGTCCATTGCTTGATAGGTATCTAAAACACTGCAACGTTGTTTGTAACTAAGACTCCTGAGTTTAGAAGTTCTTTACGAATAAATGGTTATTTAATTAACAAGTTGTTGTTCGTTTTTGAGCAAGGGAAGAAGTCACTGGTGGCAGAATTACCTTCACTGATAGCAGACCTCTTGTTAGAGGACACTACACTGTTTCATTTATGCCGTATCTACGGGTCGGTTTCGGTCCATTTTCTACAGATCGAATAATATCGGCTAAAATTTTACCATTAATATATTATTATAAACATGGGTAGTTTTATTTTCTAAGTCATGTTGTAACCGATCTATGTAAAAAAAGGCAGAATAAGCACATTTTTACGGAATGAAAACAAATAGCTACAGTGCTCGCCATAAGCTTCCATGATGGATATTCAACTTCTGGTTTATTGCCATGTACCATTATTTGCTGAATTTTTACTTAATTCTCAATTTAACGCATGATTACGTCCATGACAATTCGGTTTTTAATTTTTCATGAATAGAATATTCTCTAAAGTGTCGTAAAATTATGTTGGAATATTCTTACGTAAAGAAATGGAAAATATTTGAACTTTTTAAAATTCTAGAAAAAATCCTTCCACTCACCTGATAGGGTCCAATTGTCATATTCCACAGGCCCAACATTCTCCCGAACATCTCCCACCAAGTTACACCACCTGCCAACAAAAGTAAAGGTACGGTCAAACGTAATTCGATACCTACTTTTCCGCTTAAAATCATAACCAGTTTTTGGACCAAATATTAAGCCAAACAGAGTTAACTGCCCTTGAGCTTGGTACACGCCATTATAGATAGCCGGTATGATTATTATTACTATTATTATCAATCATAGCGCATCCTTCTCGAAAGTAAAAATACAATTATTGAAGCAGTCAAGAGCCAGGATGTTCGCGATTACTTTTTTTTTTTTTTTTTTTTTTTTTTTTATATTTACTAATACTATAATATTACATTATTTGTTAGTGTAGCACTATGGCCCTTGAGACAATTTTGGCTCTTTATAAAATTGTCTCTTTAATTTTGTCTATAAAGTCAAATCATAAGTACTAAATGAAGGTGGTTATAGTTGTTCGTTAAAAACAGTGATGTTTTAGTTAAATTATAATCATTGTCAAAATAGTCATCAAATTCTAGCTGTTTATTGACCTATGGTCGGTTGACCAAAAATAGGTAATGTTGCCTGTCTTGTTTGTGGGAAATATAGAGTTTTATTCCTTATATGGCGTGGAAATTCACGTCAAGGTTATTGAAGACCTGGAAAAAGTAGGGGGTATAAATTAGGGTGTAGAGGAGAGCTAGATAGAGCTCACCCAGAAATTCTTACCAGTCATTATATATTTGAGAACGAGGAACCTGCAAAGTTATTTCCAGTTTACTAATAAAGCTGTGAAATCATTGTTGTTGCAGTATTATTTACGATCACAAGGAACACAACAAATAAAGTACTACATTAGCATGTAGGACATTGTCATTTCTAAATTTATAAACATGTCATGTATATGTCTTATAGAAGTCTATAGTGTTATGTTCTCTCGTCATAATCATATTTAAATACCTTCATTAATTGTCCATACCTTTCTAACCAGGGTAGATTATAAGGGTAAAAGATAACTCCTACGAGTTAAAATGATTTTTATAATTAGTGAATAATTATTATTATCTAATGATTGATGTTTTGTGATATATATAGTGTAACCAATATATACATTATACTGTTATAATCAATATGATACTGTTTATTAGTCGTGTTTATGTTCTTATTTGAATTTTTGAATGCAATATTTGTGAACCGCCAGTAGGAACTAGGAAAAAATGTCTCTTATAGATACATTACGCTGGCTGGAAATTGCAGGGTAGAGTAGTCATTGGGACTGGGGCCAATAAGCAGCCGCAAACATTGGCAAGCAAACATTGGCAAGCTACGTTCCTATGGCACAGAACCTTGTGAAAGAGGCCCCTGCCCTTTCTGTTTCAGAGAGTAACCGGATAAAAAATTAGGACCTCTATAGGGTCCACAAAGCTAAAAACGCATTTTTTGTACAATCAGGGGCCATAATTCAGGAAGTTACGGTCCGAAATGCGCGAATATCGAAAGGAACTGAGATATTTGGGTTATAAACTTACATTTCAAGTTTCATCAATGTCAGAAGAAAATTGTCACCTCTAGAGGATCCACAACCTTGATGTACCATATTTTTACGCTATTCGAGTACAAGAGCGGCCATTTTGTCTGTCAGATTTGGTCTGATTTTTACGAACTTTGAACTCAACCATCCTTCGGGTGTAAAGGTGATATATTCAAACGTTTTTATACGCCCACATTGAAATGTGTGAATCCAAATATATTTGTGTAGCTTGTATTCTCTGAAGAAGTAGGTTTTTAGACTTACGAAACGTTAGATACTATAAAAGATGGTTTTGTGATACCCATGACTTTGTTTTTAACCACATTGAAATGTGGTCGTATATTGTTGATGCCCCCGTCGGTCCGGCGTCCACAATTGCTTGTGGACGCTCTAGAGGCTACAGTTAATATCCGATTGACTTTAAATTTATACACAGTGTTTAAGGTCATGAGACGAAGAAGCCTATCGATTTTCAACGATTTTCGATAATTACTGCCTAAGTTATGGCCCTTGATCACTTCAAAAAATCTTGTAGACGCTCTACAGGTCAAAGTTAATATTCAATTGACTTTAAATTTATACACAGTGTTTAAGGTCATGAGACGAAGAAGCCTATCGATTTTCAACGATTTTCGATAATTACTGCCTAAGTTATGGCCCTTGATCACTTCAAAAAATCTTGTGGACGCTCTACAGGTCAAAGTTAATATTCAATTGACTTTAAATTTATACACAGTGTTTAAGGTCATGAAACGAAAAAGCCTATTGATTTTCAGCGATTTCCGATAAATACTGCCAGAGTTATGGCCCTTGATCACTTTGAAAAATCTTGTGGACGCTCTAGAGGCTAAAGTTAATATCTGATTGACTTTAAATTTATACACAGTGTTTGAGGCCATGAGATAAAGAATCATATTGATTTTCAACGATTTCGTATAATTGCTGCCAGAGTTATGGCCCTGATCACTTTGAAAAATCTTGTGACGCTCTAGTGGCTAAAGTTATCATCCGATTGACTTCAGATTGATACACAGAGTTTAAGGTCTTGAGACGAACAAGTATATTGATTTTCAATGAATCTTTATAACTTGAACAGCTAAATCCATGATGTTAAAAGTTTCGTATACTAAACGTTAGCATGGGGCAGAACTTTATAAAAACCAAACAAATTCTAATGGTTTTCTGATAATTACTTAATTACTCTTAATTAGATTTTAATGTATTATAAACAGTGCTTCACGTTTGAAAAAAATAGAGGAGCCATAAAAAGCTTTAAAATTACAACAGCTGAAAATAGCTCCTGCAAAAATAGCACTTCTCAACTCTAATCCATTGTTTAGAAGGACCATTCGTGTATTTCATACTATACTTTGACCATAGATGAAGCCATTTATTGACCATTAATACTTAGAAAATAAAGATATGTGTTTCGATATTTATTAGAATAAATAAAAAGAAAAATGAAATTTCAGTATCAATCTTTCACTCCTATACTGACTTGATGCAATC